TTGGGGGGGGGGGGAGAAGGAGATGCAGGATTGCTAGATTTAGAAATCAGGGAAATGTAATAGAAATTGTGTATCTGATCTTCAGCAAGCTCTAAAAATGGTCTTTTACACCTTGCTTACAAGTTGAAGAAATATGGACAGATGGATGTGTAACTGACTGTACAACCTTTTACAGATAACACTATTAAAAGAAAGAAAATTGTAGACACATCTTATTGCAACATTGGTCTTGTCCCATGCAGACTACTTTATCAACAACTTGGATAAAAATATGGTTGCCATTTTTGTTAGATACTTAGAAGCCATAAACTTGGGAGAATTATTAATACATTGGAGGACCAAAAGTTCACGACAGGCTAGAGTAAAACGGCTAATCTTAGAAAATAAACTTTTATTGTGGAGAAAGTATAGAGGCCCAAAATTACAACCTCAGAGGTGCAGTATAATAAAGCCTTGGCTCGGGGGTATCTGAAAAGATTTGGGAATTATTTTTAACAGTAAGATCTCTACGTGTCAACAGTAGAATGTTGTTGACTCTCAAGTCTACTGTATTCTTGGCTGTACAAATAGAAACGTGGGCTTTACTCCATGCTGATTGGACAATAATTGTGTATTATATTCATTTTGAAGAGCTTCATTGTAACAAGGTGTAGACAATCAGAAGTGTCTGAATAGAATGAATAAGGACTCTGAAACCATATTGTTTGAGCAATGGTCAAAATATTTAGACATTTCTACTAGAAAAGAAAAAACCCTGGAGACCTTATTAACTGTTTTCAAATATGTAGAGAGCTACTATAGGAAAGCAGGATTAGACTTTTTCTGTGTTGCTCAAAAGAAGTGTTTTACCAATACAAATCAAAACATTTTTTACTTTTACCAATAAATGAAAGCTATAGGAAGACAGATTTCGGTTCAACATAAAGAATTTTTTTAAGCACCAGAGTTGTCTAAATGCTGAATGAGTGCCTGTGGGTTTCCAATACCCATAAGAGCATTGGCAAGACACATTAAATATCAAAAATCAAAGCTTAGTTTTGTAATCATTATCAGTAATTATTCTTTAATAAATTAACAGAAAAATTCAACACCAAAACCATCCTTTGGACTTTCCGGTTTACCCCTAGGGACCCTTCCAAAGTTTATAGGATTGCTCCATTCTTCAAAACTAGTGCCAAGTTGTTCTTTGATGATGAAAGTTCTGTTTATGGTATCAAAGTTCTCTGATAATTTTCTGTCATATCTTTTGTGGGGTGAATGGAAGCAGTGGGGCTTCTATTAGTTGTTCGGGCTATTTTGAATATTTCTAACAAGAGTTCTTTGGGCAACATGGGACCTTCTGCTCTAAAGTATCTAAGAAAATGGCCAAGGCTCCACAAAACACTGAATTTGCATTTAATACCTAGTTCTGCTCTTGCCTCGTTAAACTATCCTTTAAAAATCAGGGATCTTCACAGACGAAGAAGGAGCTGTGAACTGTGGTTTCTCTAAGTTGAAAACTGATAACTGCAGGGGAAAATAACAGAAATGTCTATTTGTAGTATTTCAGTAAGATAGAGTTTCTATCTTACAATATGCAAGACAGAAGCCTGGAAAGGGGTCATAAAATAGTCTTTTGAGACAGGCAAAATTTCTTTTTAATCTAAATGGAACTTGGCCTGGTTTTGCATGTAATTTAAAAATCAAGCTAGATATAACCTGATGTAAATTGTCATGAAAGACTAAGATGAAGGAAATGGTTTACATCATAAAAAATACATCTGATATTGACATTTAATTTTTCACCATCAAAGACTTGCTTTTGATTATCATAGTCCTGCTTTTAAAAATAATTCTGGGGTAGCTATGAATGAATACAATTAAAAAGCAACCATAAGCAAAGGAAACACAGAGAATTTTATTTATCAGTAAGAGCAAATCAGAATAAAATCTTATTTCCCCACAGGAAATGGAATCAATAATAAATCTCTCTTCTAGGCATTACAAATATTGAGAAAAGACTTAACATATGAGTAGTTGCTATACTGACCGTGTTTCCCACAAGAAGTCAATAATAGAAACTTGAAGCCATTATATTTATGATTGTTGTTTCCCTGAAATAAAATTCATGGTCAACATTTTTTCCATCAGCACTTTGATTATGTTAACCAACTCCTGTGTTCTAATGAGAAATCAGCTGTTAATCTTATTAAGGTTTTCTTTTATGCTGTTTTTCTTTTCCTGTTTCTGAGATTTTTCTTTTTGTCTTTGTCTTTCAACACTTTGACTATATGTCTAGGTGTGAATTTATCCTACTTGAAGTTAAGCTTCTTGGATATGTTTTTCATAAAATTTGGAAAGTTTCAGTCATTAGTTCTTCATATATTTTCCCTGCCGCTTTTGCTAGGCCTCTGTTCATTTTCTCCATTCTTTTTTATTTCTATTCTTCAGACAGAATAATCTCCATTGACCTATCTTCAAGCTTGCTGTTAAAGCAAAAGGCTAGGAGAGCTTTACTGCACATACTCATAGATTTATATGCTAGTAAATTTCTTTAATTAAGATGCTTTATTTATTTTAATATTCTAAATGGTAGTTTTATTTATAGTCATAATGCAGTTATAATTTATTTACAATTTTTTAAAAGCACACCAAATTAATAACTGACTTTATTTTTTCTTCCCCTAACAGTCCCATTATAGTAGCACTGGTCCAGAGTTTAACCGTGTGCTCTTCAATTTTGGAGGTCGGAGTCCACTGATTTTACATTATCTTAAGAAGCATGAGCTAGCTGGTATTTCCAAAGCCCCTAGACGAACCAAGATTAAATTCACTGAAATATCACAAGAACCATATCCTTTTTTAGCTTTGCTTTAATAAGATCTATTTCTAAAATATTCAAAACTTTTTACTAAATGTCTCAATTAAGAAAAAAAATTAATGCATTTTTTAACCAATGCTTTTTTAGTTAGTGTTTAATCATATTCAAAACTTTTGTAGCATATTTGGTTAAAGTATTTTCTCTTTTAGATCTAAGGCTGTGATTTTTCATGTAAAAAAATAAAACCTAGGAACTTTAGAAATTGGTATATTTAGCTCTTTAGTAAAAGACTGTCTTTGCAACTGACAGTTCAGTGTTCAGTTTCAAACATTTGTCAGGACTGTGAGTAATGGGGCTTCTAACCCTCTCCAGAAGAGAGTTTCAAACATGTTTTAACTGTGGCATTCTTTGTTCCAAATAAAATTTATCAAAAAGCTAAATGTGTAAAATATAAAATAAATGAAATTGGAGTTCTTTGGTTGCAGCAGGGGTGGGGCCCAGAGTTCTGTTTATACGCCTGTGCTCCCTCGGCATAACCCACCCTGACCCAGGCCTCACTGGGGACTCAGATGAACCCCAAAGGGATCTAATACTGTGCTCTCCAAACTGAAATATACACAGCTCTAGGTGATGAAAAAAATATATCAAGACTCTTATTTACACGTATTTCTATCTTGAAAAACAAAAAAGAAGTTGCACTTCACTAATATATAGTAAACAAGTGCCCTCACTCAGCTGGTATTTCAGTCTGCATTCTACTATGTTGAGCGATAATGACAGCCATGCCCTTGGGTGGTTTTCTGAGCATCACAACATAGTGCTGTTTTATTTGGTGGGGTAGGGGGAAAGGGAGCAGATTTATAGATTATATCATCTAGTTTAACTAAATTAACAACTCGCTAGTGAAACAATAACTTTAAAAGATTTCTGGAAAGAACTGTGGATTGATGATAATATTTATGATGCAAGAATAAATTAGATTCCACATATAAACAAACAAACAAAATAGAAACAGACTCATAGCTATCAGAGTGGAGGGGAGAGGGGGGCTGGGAGAAAAAAGTGAAGGGATTAAGAAAAACAAACAAACAAAAAACCTCATACACAGACAACAGTGTGGTCATTACCAGAGGGAAGTGGGGGTGGGGGAGGTAGGAAAAGGTAAAGGAGAGAAAAATGGTGATAGAAAGAGGCATGACTTGGGGTGTCGAACGTGCAATATAGATGATGTATAATAGAATTGTACACCTTAAACTGATAGAATTTTATTAACCAGTGTAACCCAAATAAATTCAATTTTAGAAAGAATAAATTTATTAAAAAAGAAATAGCAAAACAATATTTCTCCTACTCCTTGAAGGAGCTCATTTTCAGCCACGCTAAGAGATGAAATTAATGGCGACCCATTCAGTTCCACCCAGATGTAGAACAAAAATATAAAAATAAAAACACTCAAAAAGACTATTTGAAGTATGGATATACATTATTTTATAAACAGTGAATCTGGCCCTAAGTCTATGTTAAACTTTTTAATATTATCAAGTGATAATAAGCCAGTTTAATTTGCATGGCATTCATAAACCAACTGTCTAGACACCAATACAAATCTCTACAATTTGAAGACTAAAAGTTTAGGGTACCATTAATAAACATAAAATTTTAATTTAAAAAATATTTATTTCATGTTACTGCTTTCTATTTGTACACTGTATATTTTTATAATGTGCATAATATATTAATACAGATTGATGTGTATGTAATTTATACATTTATGATTATACCTATAAGGGAGTGTGCTCACGTAGCTTTTACTCATGGGATGTGGGATCAGAAAAGTGTGGAGACCACTGCTCTAGCAGCTCCTCAGACCTCTTCCCAGGTCACTGCTTCTCCCACATTTCAGTCAAGACAACCTAGAGCCTCACTGACCATAAGCACATGGAATTACCTTTAATGGCTCTGGAACACAAGAAGAAAGGCAGACTATAGGGCTGAATAAGTCTAAGACTTGTAACTTAGGTAATGATGCAAGGATTCTCATCAACCTTGAATTATGTCTAAAACAAAATTTTTAAATCCCTAGAAGCAAAATTTGAAAGGTATCTAAAATCTTTCCTAGTAGATTAATTTTATTTTAACTAATTTGTATTGTAATTATAAAGATGTTCATCTTTTATCATGATTACATTTCTGATGAGCATGGACTTGTTCAAGGGCTATGCAAAGATTCATACCACCAGTTTACTGAGAATGTGGGAAGAGTGTGAGTATGAGTGGGGGTGGGGAAAGGAGGAGATGGAGATCTGAGGCATGAAACCTGTTAGGATTATGTCTCATTCCATAAAAATTTGGGGGGAAAAGTCACCTATTGGAAAGTCATGGGGTTTCCCACCATGCTTACTGTGCTTGTAAAATATAATAGCCACTTAAGAAAAAATGTTCCTAGATCTAATGATGAACAAAATTATAATGATACCTCACATTCATCAGCACTTGGCAATTTTTCAAGCATGTGTTGAATTCCCCTATGTATTATCATTGCAATGGCAAGAGTCCTGTGACAGTGGGTGGAGCAAGCACCGGTCACAGCCACCTTACAGATGAGGAAACCAAAGCACAAAAAGGGCAAGTGGCTTGCTACACAAATTTGCCTCTATATCCCTGACACTTGAGAAAACGTATGTAGCATAAAAGAGTTGTTAAACAAATGCCTGTTGGGAGGATATAGCATGGCTTTATATAAAGATAAGACCAAACTTCATCTTATTTTTCAAAAAAAGAATTGACATTATCTTTAAAATTAAAAAAAATAAAAAAACTAGAGGAAAGAGAGAGAAATTTGTCATCACTGGTACAAAGTTAGTGTATAAAGTCATCATGATTAAAATGATGTTTTCAAAAATGTATTGAATAGTTCCTGTGTACCAATCACTCTTCTAAGTGCTTTATACTTAACTCATTTAATTCTCATGTGAACTTCTGAGATAGATATTATCATTGTCTCTATTTTTAAAATAAGGAAACAGAAGCACAAGAAAGTTAAGTAACTTGCCTGAGGACACTGCAGTTAAGTGACAGCACTTGGAGTCTGTCCTGGGCAGCCTGGTTTCAGAGCAGATGCACAGAGCTCTCTGCTACTTAATTGTTTACCCAGGGGGACTGTGGACCTCCAGAGAAAGATAAAAGCCTACTCTAGGCTTTTAAGGAGAATTGTAATTATGGTTTGGGGGAGGGTGGTAAGAGAGAAGTCAACAGAGGACAAACAAGAAGGGCTGCCATGCTAATGTCCCTCATACTTGAGGATAAATAGCTAATTGATATTTCTAGGGTGGTCCAACATTAAATCACTTTAGCAGTTTTCCTTCAGACATTTAAGATTGCATGACCATGCAATCCTATTTCAAAATCTTTTTATCTATTTAGTAAGAGATTCTTATGGTACACTTGATTAAACAAGCTCAAATACAGAATAATATATTTGGTCAGTATGTAACTTTAAATTAGAGTCTTTTGGACCAGATACATTTCAAAATAAATTTAAAATCATAGGTAACATTTCTTTTGATTCAGAGTGATTTGCCAAAGTCACAAGAGGGAGCATTGCTTACTGTCACTGTTTTAGTATTCATATGCAAACAGAGAAGACTGGAGGTGTATGTGGAGAGAGGGAAAGAAGGAGTTACTGCAATTGTAAATCACAGGGGAGTTCATGATTCTGAGAGAATTTTTAATGTACATTTGTAAGGAAAATAATAAACTTCTTTACTAATTAATGTACATTAAATCATTATTAGTAGAAAATTTGAATATTTTTGTGAGTGATATTTGAATTTTTAAACTTGATCACTCAGTATTAGAATTATAAGTAAAATGGGGAAATAAACCTTTGATTTCTAGGACTCAGAGCAGAATGTGTAATGTGTCTTTAAACTTTTCAGGATCTTGTGCAAAACGTATTTGTAGCTCCGCATTTTCCCTTTTCACGGTGTCTGTACAGTATTTTTATAAACCATCTCAAGTCCTGTATGTGTTGAGAATAAACTAAGAAATACACAAAAGACTAATAACTTTTTACATGTAAAACACAAAAAGAAAGAGAAAAAGAAAGAGAAAAAAAAGGAAGGAAGGAAGGAAGGAAGGAAGGAAGGAAGGAAGGAAGGAA